ATATATCTACGTGTATATTTATGAAAAAAATGGGCCACCTTAAAACATGTCTTAATTCTATGTCTTTGCTTAGTGAAGATGTTTAAAAAGAAGCTTCACCGGTGTTTTTATTTTATTTTGCTTATTTAATAGGCTAAATATTCCAATGATGAATTCAATATTTTTTAATTGAATGAAAATGATTTTGATAAATAATCATCAGAAGGTCTCTTCTCCACATAAGGTATACATTATCTTATAGCTGTTTAGGAATTCGCCAGTAAAAAACCATATTTATAGGTTAAAAAAAAAAAACATTTACAGGTTGAAAAAATATTCAGAAGTATTGAACATAGCACATTCTAAACATGAGTCTTATTAGAGGAAAATAAAAGTTCTCAAGTTGATTTTCATGAATTCATAAAAAAATTAAATTTTTTTTTATTATTGAAATTTTTAACACTTGACCTTAATATTCCAGAATGGCATGGTGGAGTTGAAGTTGATAAGCAACAGAGTGACTGTATTTATTACAGGTAAAAAATGGTAATATTTTTTAGATACTGGGTTACATTAACTATAATTTCTTATTCCTCTAATTCTTACTTTTTTAAGTCAACTTTATTGAGTTATAATTTATATCCAATAAATATTTTAAGTCCATGAGTTTTGACAAACATTATGCAATTATTATCAGTGCATTCAAGATAGAGATCATTACTATCCTTCTCCATTCCAGTCAATCCCTGCCACCCTCAACCACAAGAAAACACTTACTTGCTTCCCATTACTATAGATTAATTTTGCTTGTTCTTGTTTTATATAAATGGAATTATGAAGTGTGTTCTTTCACATAAGATTTCTTTGACTCAAAATATTTTAGGCATTCATGTTTTATGTGGATTAGTAGGGATTTTCTTTGTATTACTCAGAAGAATTTGAGTAAATAGGAACTTGCTTTTTCACCTATCAGTTGATGAACTTTGTGGTTACTTCCGCTCTCGGGGATCCTGAATGTAACGTTACTACAAGCATGCACGCCCAAGTTTTGTGAGGACATATGTTTTCATTTCTCTTAACCTTGAAATAATATTTCTGGCTTACAAAGTAAATGTATGTTTAACTTTATATGATGCAGCTGAACTATTTTCTGAAGTGATGGAATTATTTTACATTCCCACCAGCCTCCTATGAAAGTTCCAATTCTCACCTTCACCAAAACTCTCTAGACTGTACTCTTTTTAATTTTAAGAATGATAGTTACTTGGTATTTAAATTTGTATTTGCCTTATTACTAATGATGGTAATCGTATTTTAATATTCTCCTTGGTTATTTGTGTATCTTCTTTTGTGATGTGTCCATTTAAATCTTTTGGCCAATTATTAAAATTAATATATTCTTGTATTATTAATATCTGTATAAGTCCTTCTCTCACACATACATATATATATATATGATGCATACATAGTGAATTTATTTTCCTAGTCTATGACTTTCCTGTTCATATTCTTAACTATTCCTTGGAGAATAGTAGTTTTGCTTTCTTTTCTTGGCCATCATTTTTTCTCATTTTTAAAAACTTTTACTAATAATGTGAATTTTATGAAATTTTTAACAAATATCTGTACATTTAGTTACTGAGAACATGATGATGTTTTGATGCATATAATGTATGGTGATCAGATCAGCATGACTAGCATAGCCATCATCTCAAACATTTATCATTTATTTTTGTTGGAAACGTTCAATATCCTCCTTC